TATTGTTCGAATAGTTTTTTTTGTGTGAGTACTGAATTGATTGAATTGAGATTGTTGCTGAGTTGGTTCATTGAAGGAATAATTGCAAGTTACTACTGTCGCTTTCTTGTTTGTGGTTATTGTTTATAACTAATAAACTCATCGTTGTTGCACTACGAACCTGTCACAGTATCTCATATACCAATCACGGTATTTCGAGAACCGGAAAGAAATTATCTTTGTTGTGAAATTCACGACAGTATTTCAAAAAAAATCCAATCCGATGCAATCCAACGTGACCAGATCAAAGTCATCTTCAAACATTAATAGTAATACCGATTGTAAATACTAATAAGGCAATGCCAAAACAAACCTGTGAAAAACTTGTCGCAGTTGTTGCACTCGTAACCGGTGTAGCACTGATATCCGTTGCTTCCGGTGATTCCTTCACTGAGACCACTCGTTCTCCAGCTTTTTTCATGCCCTCAGATAATGAATCTCCTGTTCGATCACTTTGCTTCGTCGTATCTGCTGTACCATTCAACGCTGGGAATGGCTCAGCTTCAGATTTGCCCGCGTCCACTTTCGATGCAGATGCAGTAATCTTTCCCACTCGGGATGATGTCGGCTGCTTGGGTTTTTCTGCCGATTGTATTTCTCTTGATGAAGCTTCTTGTCCTTCTTTCTTTGCCACTTCCTATAAGATGCTTGCGATGATTAACGAAAACAGACAAGATAAATGGTACGGAAAGCGATTGCCGATCTTAAAATCAAAACCGATTTTGAATTCTTCAACTGCATCCGATAAGATAATCAAAACGATATTGTCAGTTTATGGCCGAAGTATTAATACCGAATGAAACACTCCAAAGTGGATACAAACAATCTGTGACTATGATCTAATCGTAAGCTAATAGCAGAACTAAATGTCCGAGCAATAGCACGATACAGAGGACAGAATTCACANTAAGTAAGTAAGTGTAACAATTAGTTTTGCACTATGAACAAAACTGAAACTCAAAACATATAAAATTATTGCAAATCGCAACCTTAACGTCTTGTTTGCTTTTCATTTGGTGTTGTGCTTGCTGTTTGGCCTTCTCTTTTTTACCTTTTTTCTTCTTTCCTCCACCAGTGACGACGTGTTCTTGATCATCAACGCCATCTGTCACTTCTTTTTTAGCCATTTTACCAATTGGTTTTAAGTTCTCCTTAAAATAGATCCAATTTTGGATGTCGTCCTGAGCGAATTTTCTCACAATCAGTAGATTCTTACTTAATAACGCTCATCTTTGATTCAAGATTCAAACAAATGCCTAAACCCAAACAACAGGATTACCTGCAGCTGCACTAAAGAATCGGTGCCCTCAGACATATCACGTTCCTCCCAGCTCGTTGGCACCACACTATCCACGGGCCATATGTCCGGCTTCGGCAAAACTTTCTTCTTGGCAGCCGATGCAGAACCGCCTCGCTCTGACGACGGTACATAAGCACCACTGATCACCGAAGCACTCTTAAGCGTTTCATTAATCCTTTTGTAGACGCATAATTCACTTGCCCAAAAGTTCACCCGTAAAANTAAGCACAACATTTCTCACCGATTCAACGAATAGTCAAAATCAGCGATCGCTTCAAGAGCCGATTGTAAGATTCGAGAGTCACTCATCATTTGAGAGTCATACTCGACTGTCCTCTTCGTATAGCCAACCTTTCGGTGAAACCTTTCTCGATAGAGAGAAACAACCAACCAGCTCTCTCACTTTTTAATCATACAACTCACAACTCAAAAAATCTCCAAATATTTTCAAATACACTCCTGAAACCTTCTCATTTCCAAACTACAATTCATTGTTGTTGTCATTTACTTCAAAACAATGTTTTCCCGTCTACCTTCTTAATTCAATTGAAACATCACAAACATACCTGCGTGAATTGCAATCGATTCCTAGCCCAGGCGGAATTCGGCAAAAGATTTTTAGGTCTAGTAGAAGAAGGCTGTGCAACGCTTTCAGATGAACTCAAACTTGGGAACGCATTGGAGTTGAGCGCCGACGCAATACTGCTTAACGAGTTCGGTCTACGAATCACTGCACCACCCCACGAAGTTTCCAATTTCTCCTCGTGAACTGCATCTTCTGATGGCTGAGCATTCTTCTAAAACATAAAGGTTCTTAGCCCCTAGCAAAATGCACACTACTGTTGCTAGAGCACTGTTACATTATTGCTGCTTTTATCACAAATCGGCAGGCACCTACAT